TCATGGGTTTCTGTGGCAGGGTTTTGGTAGCGAGGGGGCTACAGGGGTGCCTTCTGTTAGAAGCTGCTAGAAGTTTCCCCTGTCCTATGGAGCCAATGATAGCTGGCTCCAGAACGGACTTCCTGCCTCTGGCCAAGGCTGAGCCAATTAGCAAGTATAGTAATGCCTTTGTGATAACATATTTAAGAATAGAGGAGTGTTGCGCAGAAGAAATTCCAGCCAGGGAAGAGCAGAGTGACAACATGCGATAACAACATAGACACCAAGGTCAGTGCAGGAGGAAGAGGAGGAGGGACCCCACGAGAGCAGGGAAGGACTCAGAGCTAGGGTCCCCTGTAGCCCATGGTGAAGACCATGGTGAAGCAGGTTGTCCCCCTGCAGCCCATGGAGGACCCCTGGGATGCAGAGACCCCCCTGCAGCCCATGGAGGAGCCCATGCTGGAGCAGGTGGATGCATGAAGGAGACTGTGACCTTGTGGGAGGCCCAGGATGGAGCGGGTTCCTGCAGGAGACCTGTGGCCCATGGAGAAGGAAATCCACGCTGGAGCAGGTTTTTCCCAGGTAGGACTCGTGGCCCTGTGGGGGACCCACGTCAATACAGCTCATCCATGAAGGACTGCACCCCCATGGAGGAGTGACCCACAGGACAGCAGTTTGGGAAGAACTGCTGCCCGAGGGGTGGACTCACCTTGGAGAAATCCATCACAGACCGTCTCCTGTGGGAAGGACCCCACAGGAGCAGGGCAAGGACTCCTCTCCTTACCAGCAGCAGAAACAACAACTGACTGCAACCCCCATTCCCCATCCCCCTGTACGACTGGAGGGGAGGAGGGAGAACATGGAAGGAAGGAGGGGTGGGGGGAAGATGTTTTTAAGACTTTTATTTCTCACTCTTTGGCTCTTATCCTGTTAGTAATAAATTTATCCCCATTCTGAGTCTGTTTTGCCCATGAAGGTAATCAGCAAATGACCTCTCCCAGCTCTTATCTCTACTCATGAATTCTTAACTGGTTTTTTTTTCTCTCTCCTCTGTCTAGTTGCAGAGGGAGAGTGTGACTTTAGTGGGTGCCCTGGCATATAGCCAAGGTCAACCTGCTACAGGAGCCAAGCGATATATCAGCATTCATCACTGATCTAGCACTAGCCTCTCAATTCTAAGCCTTTATTAACTGCCTTAAAATATAGATCAGAGATTATTGCTCCTTTAAACTTCAGATCTCTGTGCATGTGGTGGACTTCAAGGGAGTGGGGTGTTGCCAGGGTGTGATATTTTCACTCACTGCTATAACTCTTTTTTTCTTCTTTTTTTCTCTTCCAAATTAAATTTTTCAGGTCATTTAGTTTCACGGCTCAGCATTTTGGAAATAACGTGAATGTAAGGAGTTCCTTTAACTGCAACCATTAGACCGGGATCTGAGCAGAAACAACCTGGCCCTGTCTCAGTGGGGGTCCTGGGGGCTGTGAGAGGCCTCAGCCTCATGGTACCTTGGGAAGATGATGTTTCATGTGCTGCTTGGGTGGAGAGCACCCACCTCCATTCCCCTGGGATCTCACCAGGGAACAGCCACCTCCCTCACATCTCCTCATGCCTAGATGACAGTGCACCTAGCTTGGTGGTCAGGGGGGCGGGAGAAGCCCCAAATAGCTGAGGCAAAATGAAGCTCAGGACCTTTGGGATCAGTTAAAAAAAATTAAATAAGAACAAGCTATCGAATTCCAGTGCTGGTGCTGCTGGTTTCCTTTTGAACTCTCCCTGGCCTCATCCCAAGGATGTAGGCATGGATGGGCTCTATTTTCTGAAGAAGGGCATCATGGTTGCTATGTGCTGCGTGGCTCACATGCGGAAGGCCACTGAGAGGAGGAAGAACAACAACAGATTCATTCCCTGAGGGCTGTTTATGCTTTTGGCCTTTTTCTCAGGCTGTTTCTTTCTCGCAACATCTGCAGCTTCACTGCAGCTTCATGCCTTCATTTTCTCACTCCACAATTCCTGGAAATCTGTTTTCCCTGAGCATGGCTGGTCCATGTGCACGACAGATGAACTATCCACAGGATTTAAGAGTCCCTGATTACTCCTCAGATGATGGACCAGAACAGCTTTATTGTTATTGCCTATTCCAGAAAAGCCACATGCCCATTTTTATATGCACATGAAGGATATCTCAACATCAATTTACTAATAACATGTATGTTTAGTAGTCACTAGATAATGCACCATGGGCTCCAGGGTGTTTAGCCCTTTTCAAATCCCTCTGAAGTTGCTCAGAATTGGGGACATCTCATTTCCCAGGTCAAAATCCTCTTATGTTGACAGCCTCCTTGCCCCAAAACTTCTGTTGCAAACACCCTGAACAGGGTTTTAATATAGCACTACTGATTAAAACTTAATTGTAACAGGGTGTTTGTATAAACACAAGACACTTAGCAGATGTTTTCTATTGTTCTTTTCTTAGTTACACATTTATTTTAAGTCTCCTATCACTTATTTAGCATTCAGAATGGTGTCATTGCAGTTTGCTAAGAACAGTTGTTTGCAGTACTAGTTGTACAAAATCATTTTTACAGTTTGATCCAGAGCTTTACAAAAAAAGTCCTAAATGTAACAGAAGGAAATAAATTACTAGAAAAGGTCAATTAAAGAAAGTAAAAAGAAAAAGAAATTGTTTCTGCCTTAAGAGTCTTTTCAAAAGGTTACAGCTATAGCAAACATAATTTCCTTAGCTGAAGGTGGCATAGCAAGAAAAAAAAGGAAACTGTCTTTTGCTCTGTAACAGTCTTCAGCATAATTCTGCCTTTGCTGTAACCTCTGTGGCTTGAAGAGTGTCATGGTTTTGCTCTGGGTCAATTTGTTTTCACACTTCCCACAATTATTATTAGTTGAGAGAAGGTTTATGCAGACAAAAGAGACTGGATTAGGGAAAAATAATATGAACATTTATTACTAACAAGTTAAAACTAAAGAATTATATTTACAACAATTCTACTTAAGTAAAAGTGCTATGTATTTACAGAAATACTTCTCCTCCCTTTATATCAGTTCAAGGAGGAAAAGCAGTTTCTTTCTCCATTCTCAGAGTTCCAGGTTTCTTCAATAACTCTGCAGCACTCTCGTCGTAGCTGGAACTCTTTCCCCTTCTCTGTGTCGACCTCTAGGGATGGGCCTACCCCCCTCTTGGGCTAAGACCAGAGGCTGGGGGTTACTCAGACCCTGAAGATTTTTCTTCCATGGTCTTGCAAGGGGACACTTCCCTACCATGGATCTTCTTCCACGGGATTACAGGGGATAATGGCTTATGACTCCACCTCTGTTTCCCTATGGAGGTCCCTCCCCATGGGAGAATAGTCCTTGATAGACCTCTCCGACATGGGTCTAGCATGGATCCCACGCATGGATCCCAACATCCTTACCCGAGCCGTTTTCTGCTCCGGCGTAAGGCTCTCTCTCTCAAGGTCACAAATCTTCAGTAGCAGCATGAATTTCTCACTCGGATTCCAAGCTTACTCGAACCGTCTACTCTGGCATAAACCTCATCCCTTCAGGGTCACAAATCTTTAACAGGACTCTGCCTTATCTCAGTCTCTCTCATGAAGTCTCGGTTCTTTGGTACATCCACAAGCTCTTCTGTGAACCGCATGGGGGGTCTCCTCACCCCAACAATCTTCTACAGGTGGCAGGGATTACTTTTCAGTCTTTTGCCTGCTGAAGGGAGAGAGCGAAAGGGGGGAGAAACAAGTCCCCCTTTGCACTTTTCTTCTCTCTCCTGCAACTGCCAGCTTCGACCTTGGACACTTCGTTATCTCTTTGCTGGAATTTCTTCTGCAGCGTTTCTCGTCCAAGCAGTCAGTCTTTCTCTAAAGTTTTTTTCCTTCACTCTCTTACATGAGAGAAGGGGGGCTTCAGTGCTACACCTGCTCCCGGTCCAAGCCAGGGGAGGAGGAGGCCTTGACTCACCTCGAAGCCTGCTACCGCCTCTCCTACATGGCTACTGCTCCTAATTTTAACTGTGCCATAAACTTTCTCTTCCGTTTTTTTAAATATGTAATTAGCAAAGGCATTACTGAGAGTTTTAATTGGCTTTTTGTCCAGAAATCCACCTGGACAAAACCATCCTCAGCTGGCCGGCTGGACAAAACCACGACAAAGACCTGCTGTCAGAAGATTAGAAATCATATTGAAAATACCTCTCACCAACATTGCAAATAGCAGATTATTAAAATGGAAAGAGAGTAAAGCAAATCTTGAACCTGCCAAGTGTGCCTCACACAATTCATGCTATGCGTATGATTTTAAGCACTAAGTTTGTGGGGAAATTTAAGCTAGTAAGGTTTTGCAGATTCTGGCTTCATAGGGTAGTGGACTCGTGGGTTTTCCTCTTGTTAACAACTTCAGAGATAATTTTGCATTTGTCTTGTTTACAACAAAGAGCTTAATTGCTTTTGTTGAGCTTCAAGTTCTGCGAGGGATTACATTTTAGGAAAAAAGAATTACACCAGGAGGCAGAGTTGCACTATTCATCCATTGAAAGGGAATATTTGTACTCTCTACAACTACCTGAAAGGAGGCTGTAGCCAGGTGGGGGGCAGTCTCTTCTCCCAGGCAACTAGCGATAGGACAAGAGGACATAGTCTTAAGCTGCACCAGGAGAGGGTAAAGGTTGGGCATTCAGAAGAATTTCTTCACAGAAAGGGTGTTCGGATATTGGAATGGGCTGCTTAGGGAGGTAGTGGAGTCACCATCCCTGCAGGTGTTTCAGAAAAGACTGGACATGGCACTTAGTTCCATGGTGTAGTTGACATGGTGGTATTCGGTCATAGGTTGGACTCGATGATCTCAGAGGTCTTTTCCACCCTGGTTGATTCTGTGATTCTGTCATTCTGTGATTTTACTTGTGTTTTAAATTAAAAATTAGTAGAATATATTTCCTTAGCAATTTTGCATTTATAGAAATATTTCCATCTATTTTAGAGTGGGAAAACCAAACAAAACTTGTTTACAGTGCATGAATCTAAATGCAAATTTGACTCAAATATAAGAAGACTTTATAAAGGTTTCTAACCCTTACAAGGACATTGGTTAGGAAGAGTTGTCATTCAGTGTACAAAATAAAGACCTGCAACCAGGTGTTATGAATGGACTGATAAACTAATTTTTTTTTCTCTTTATTTTCTGCTACCTTACAGGTTTATGACAGACCACAAAAACATTCTGTTCTGCACTATGATGATCCAGGTCTCCAACAAGACCTCACCAGTGACACCTTAAAATCAAAGCACCAGCAGAAAAGTAGCAACCAGCTCCATCTTGACTGGTCAGCGAGCTCTGATACTGGATCCACTTCTCAAAGTTGCTTTGTCAACACAGAACCCAGTAGAGAAGCAGTTAGTGCCACCAAGGTCTCCACTCTGGAGCAGGGAGTTTCCTTCAGCAAATCCCAGGCAAAGAAGTCCTGCACCAGCAGCACATGGGGGCAGATGTCAGCCAGTAATAAAGAGTTTGCCATTTGCAGTGCAGTCCCATCCCCCAACAGCATCAGCGTGGCTGCCCAGCTGAGCAATGCCTATGAGTGCAATGGGCTTTTGCCTCTTGGTGACCAAGAGGTAGGTGTGCAGCTGGAAAACCCCAATCGGCCCACCGAGAGTACAAACAAGTCCAGCAAAAAGGACTTCATAAGTCAAACCATCCAAACCACAGACACTGAGTGGGTGAAGAACGCTCAGAAAGCATTTGATAGCAAATCCCATTACAGCATGGAAGGAAAAAAGGAGTCTTATTCGATGGACAGTGTATTGGATATATCGCCCTTGAAGCAGAATTCTGCTTCTGCTAGCAGTTGTGAAAGCGACACCAGTCACATACTAATTACTATCCCAATAAAGTCTCCAACAACAGATACATCTGGCCACAAAAGAAAACAAAGGCACCCCACAAAATCTTTCATAGAGAAAACTATCCAGGTGAAAAGCCTGCCTTCTGGACTTGCTATGAGCAGTGAAGTAACAAACAGGACTAGCTCTCAGTCAGAGGGGAGTAAAAAAGATCTTCGAGCCACAAAACCAGGAAAAGTGATAGAAAATGAGTCCCCCTTAGTAGCTATTGACAGTGGTGTGCTCCCTGATAAAGCTTCCCCCAACTGTGCCACCAGACTCAGAAAATATGTATCTGTGACATCCACTCTCGTACCCACTGATCTTCCCACAACTGGCAAATTATCTGAGGTCCAGCACCCCAAACATGAAACTGAGCGGCGATGGACCTGTAGAAAACCTAAATCTATCCTTCGGGACACCTCCACGACAACATCTAAAAAGTTGATGGTGGAGCCTCCTTCAGCCTATCCCATCACACGATCCAGCCCTCTTTATACCAATACAGACAGTCTTACTGTGATCACACCTCTCAAGAAAAAAAGAGGACGACCAAAGAAACAGCCTTTGCTCACTGTTGAAACCATTCATGAGGGAACCTCCACTAGCCCAGTGAGTCCAATCAATCGCGAATTTGCAGGAACAAAGAAAAGGAAGAGGAGAAGGAATCTAGCTAAGTTGGCCCAGATGGTTCCAAGAGAGGACAAGTCCATCAGTGAACTCAAGTTTAACAAAAGGGTCAGGAAGCTTGGGGTCTTGGATAAGAAGACCATCAAGACCATTAATAAAATGAAGACCCTCAAGAGGAAGAATATTCTCAATCAAATCTTGTCATTCTGCTCCAGCAGCAGAGTTGTGAAAGAAAAAGTCCAGACACTGTCTAGTGCTGGGCCAACCACCATTGATGCCAGACTAGGGAAGCAGATCAATGTCAGCAAGAGAGGGACTATCTACATTGGTAAAAAACGGGGCAGAAAGCCAAGAGCAGAGCTGCAGACTCAGCCAGAAGAACCTAAGATAGCCATCAAGCACTCAAAACCTGTTTTCAGCCAGCCAGAAAAATCAGCAGTGCCTTCCAACCTGCAGTCACTTGCAGCTATTCATCCGCTTTCAACAGAGTTATTGGGGACTAACAGTAACCTTAACCCTGCAAGCACTGAAACAAATTTTTCAGAGTTAAAAACTATGCCAAATCTTCAACCTATCAATGCTCTTCCTACAAAAACTCAGAAGGGAATGCACAGTGGAACTTGGAAACTGTCTCCACCCAGGCTAATGGCTAATTCACCTTCCCACCTTTGTGAAATAGGTTCTCTAAAAGAAGTCACACTGTCACCAGTGAGTGAGTCTCACAGTGAGGAAACCATACCAAGCGACAGTGGGATAGGTACAGACAACAGCACTTCTGACCAAGCTGAGAAAAGCTCAGAATCCCGCCAGAGATACTCCTTTGATTTCTGCACTCTGGACAATCCAGAGGCTATCCCATCTGACACCAACACAAAAAACAGGCATGGTCACCAGCAAAAACATCTCATTGTGGATAGCTTTCTCTCTCATGAGAGTATTAAAAAACCAAAGCACAAGAGGAAAAGGAAAAGCCTACAGAACAGAGATGACATCCAGTTTCTGACTGACCTTGAGGAACTCATCAATAAATTTCAAGTGTTCAGGATTTCCCATAGAAATTATACATTTTATCATGAAAATCCATATCCCAGCATCTTCAGGATTAATTTTGATCACTACTACCCTGTACCGTATGTCCAGTATGACCCATTGCTCTATCTTCGCAGGACCTCTGACATGAAGTCTAAGAAGAAGCATGGTAGAGCTGCCAAAACCAATGACACCATGACAAAAATGCCTTTTTTACAAGGGTTCAGTTACCCTATTCCCAGTGGGAGTTACTATGCACCCTATGGAATGCCTTACACATCAATGCCTATGATGAATCTTGGTTACTATGGTCAGTATCCAGCTCCTCTGTACCTTTCTCACACGTTCGGAGCAGCTTCCCCATTTATGAGGCCTACCTTGCCCCCACCCCAATTCTATGCAAGCTCTCATATGAAGATGTCCACCACTGCCAAACATAAAGCAAAACACGGAGTGCGCCTACAAACACCTGTGGGAATGAACCTTGGAGACATGCAGTCCTCTTTGGTTCCTCCAAAAGTTGGAGGAACAAGCCTTTTAAGTAGCCGACTTCACAAAAAGAAACACAAACATAAGCACAAGCATAAGGATGAGCAAATATTGGGGACACATGATCTGAGTGGTCTGTTTGCTAACAAGTCCACTGGCTTCTCCAGCCACACAATCAATGAAAGGCTAAGCAGCTCAGATAAAAACCTCTCCTTGCTCAATGAGAAAAGAAAACATAAGGAGAAGCAGAAGTATCAGCATTGTGAAACTGGACACAAAAGCTCAAAGAGTAACTTTGAAGTGTCTAGGTTATTACTTTTTGATGCCCAGCAGTGGACACAGAGTAAAGATAAAAGTGACTCAAGCAATGATCTCATTGACTCTTGCACAAAGAGGTACTCTGGTAATACTGAGAGTAATGGAAGGTCAGAGTCCCTGGACATGTTTGGTGAAATGAATTCCTCAAGTGAAAAGAAGGACAATGATGCAAGTGGGAATAAAAGAAGTTTTGAAGGGTTTGGAACTTACAGGGAAAAGGACATTCAGCCCTTCAGGACAAATAGGAAGAAGTACTTATGATTCTTCAGGTTCTTCAGGTAAGCTCTGCTTTATTCTATTTTGCCTTACTGCATTTAAATTTCAATGCTGAACAAAGAGGGACTTGTCATTTACACCAAATATGTTTATGAGTCAATAACTTGTCTGTTTTTTTGAATTGACTGCCAGTCTTCATCCAGACTCTGGGGAGATCAACAAGAAAGTTGGCCATGCCTTAAACCAAAACCTTTAAAAGTCTTTGAGTTGTTGCACATTTTTTTGAATATTTGTCCTGCCTTCATCTATCTCTCATAGCTTGTTGCGCTTCCTCCAAAAATCTCACCATTGCATTCTACAACAGCATCACTTATAGCACCTTATTGGCATCTAATCTCATGGGGTGGTAGTTGTTGCTCAGCCTTTGGGAGAACAGCCATAGTACAGAGTGAAGAGTCTCTGCTCTGGACCAAAAAGCATACAAAAACCATTTGTTGATGGGAAGAACCAGATGCATAGGAAGTTGTGGAGCTGGGTCTGTGTCCCATGACTGGTGTGGTATACTGCTGATCCAGAGGGGTCCATCACAGTGATGACTGGGCTGAATATATGGAGATCCTGGGTACAATACCAGTGTAAATCTGTCACTTCCAGTTGGCAGGTGTCACGTAATTATCCTGAGCTCTGAGTGGCTGTGGGAAGGGACTGGTGTCATGGAAGTAATAAACCTTCACCAGTTGACTGAAGAGTTTTGTGTCTCCTGACTTGGAAATATAAGCTGGGTAGATAAAGAGGGAGGAAGCTCCTTTCAGCTGCTAAGGACATCTGCTCCTGTCCCACAGAGGGGCAAAAAAGGAATCTGAATCTTATCTGAGAGACTGAATTGTACTTTACAATAGGGAGATGATTTTGTGATGACACAGAGGCAGGTGTTTTAGTGCAATATAAATGAATTTAGCTTGGGAGCAAGCCCAGAGCTCCTGCACCATCAAGTATTTATCATAAAGCAGATTTCACACTAGGTTCTGGAAAAGGGTGAGCTTTACTGAACCAAACAGTGGTGGATGACATTCTGATGTGCTAAAAAAGAGCTCCAAAACCCCCATAATTTGTAGCCTCCAAAATGAAAAGTGAAACAGCTGAGAACACAGAGGGAGCAGAGAATTGTATAAACTGCCAAAGTAATGCTCTAAAGTTTTTCATTGACTTGTAACTGAGTTCAAAAGACTGCTCATGCTTAAACAACTGAGACATTTCCATTTCCTTCACTGAGACCAGTATCTGGACTATAGCAATGAAAAACAGTCTAAAATGAGAGCTTACCCCATGAAAACATTCCCATTCATGATACCATATTATATCAGACCAATTGTGACACCAAAAAATATTGGAAAAGAAACTGAATTCAGTCACTGGTTATATCAGGGTTACTACATGACTGACAAATAACAAAATTATTCTTCACCAAGGGCTGCAGTGGCTATTGCATTAAGGAAGTTGTGTCCTAGAAGACAAGGGCTAAAAGTCTCCAAAATTTTTAACAAGGCTGTTTATCAGTCTTTAAGTGGAAGTTTATGATTTCACAGTTTGATTACAGTTGGATTTGTAGCCTTTTTGCTTTTTGAACAAATGTTTGCTAAACCTGTACTTTCCAGTTTAATATATTTCACTTAGATGTAGCAAATTGTCAAAATTCTCAACACAGCTGAACCCCAATGAGTTTCTTAAGTAGAGGCATGATCCTCACCAGGTTGATGTAGAAATATAATTAGTAAAAAAAAGGCCATTTCATGTCATTTTCCTTCAGTTTATTGTCCATGCTGATAAAAACATAAGACAGAGTGGTAGAACTTGCAGTAGGTGCTCTGTCAGATTTGCTGTTTAAACTTTTAAAACTTTTTAAAATACTTTTTAAGCCACAACACTATCTAAGATCTCAGTGCAGCGTTTTATCCTCTCTGACCTTCACTGGGATTCCCAGCATAGGTCCACACTTGAGTCTAGCCATAACTATTGACCAGTTCTCACAGAGGGGGAATTAAACTTTTCCATGATAATATCTTGACCTTCTTTCTCCTAATTCACCTTGCATTTTGCTGAGGTGGCTAAACGATGATTGACTAATCAGAAAATAAAATGTAGAAGAAAAAAACCCTATAAGATCATATAGCTCTGTCCCAGGAAATTACTTCCATAGCCCAATTGCTCTTTTCATTTGGTTTTTGTCATCTTTCACAATATAAAAATAATATATAACAGAGATAAGAGAAGACATCCTGAATATTGAGATGAAAGCTGAAAATAGATTTATATAACAATTTCTCTGTTATCATTGCTGTGTAGGCATTTTGGTCTGCTCAGTAATGCCATTTGCAACTTCATTGTATGTTGTTGGAGATGAAATATGGAGTAAAACCACCTACACTCAGTAGAGATATTTGTGATATGAGGGATGAGAGAACCATTTAGTGTTCTTTGGTGTTCAGACGTTGCAGTTTGTTTCAGCATAGTGTGCTGGTGCAGGTGCCATTATATTGTTGCTATTTTTATATTTTTATTTGTGTTGTAACAGCCCTTAGGGATTTTTTTTAAAGTTTGGTATTCCCTGGTGCATCGTAGTGGTCATGCATATGGTAGAAAATAATCCTGCCATATAACCTTAAAGTCTATACATGATTTTACAATCTAGAAATATCAAGATGTCAAGGGAAAAGTTTTCCCTCTTACTGCAGTCTTGGCACAAAAAATCTGTACCAAAAATGAAGTGTCCCATTGAAGGAGTGCTACCAACTACCTTGGTTGGCCACAGCAAAAGTCCATTCCCTGCACTGCACCAGCTTGGACTATCACTGGCCATGCGTTACTGAGTCTTGTGAGCTTTGGCTTATTTTACTTCTCTTAGGATCTCTTGGGGTTAAATGTGCAATGTTAATACATATGGCTATTTCCTAGCACTGTGTCATTCATGGGTACATATTCAAGTCACATATATGAAATACACAAATGTATGTGTATTTTTTTTTATTTTCAAACGTCTTTATCTTAAAAGTGCCCTTGTTCTGTTAAAAGCCTTACATCGGGTGATTAGACCTTCCAAAGGGAGAGTTGGAGGAATACTGAAGGAAGAAAGGAGAAGTGACAAAGGAATGAACAGCATTCATCTGATGTCAGTACAAACATAAATAGCCATGCTCTGCTAAGGTGTGTCATTTATCCAGATGAGATTTCTTCCTTGACAGAACTCCCCTCCATGTCTGTTTCCTTCTGGAATGGGCCATTGCCACACAGCACTAAATAAATCTCTGGTACATTTGCTCTCAGAAGCCAAATGCATTATGCAATTTAAAACAGGACTTGCTATAAGAAAAATCAAATATGGTGAAATATTGGCAAAGTCACCATGAGTTTTGTTTTGGTTTGAGGGGGGTGTCGCCGTTATGTTGTGAGGGTCCAATAAAAAACTTGTCTTTTACTGAGTCCCCTGCTTCTCTGCCCTGCTCTTTTTGCCACTCTTGCAAAGTAGTTAACACCAAACACCAGGTAGTTGGCAACCCCTCTGTGCTGGGCTCTCCCTTGGAGACAGATTCCCAGAGAGCCTGTCCAACCTTCTCCCACACAGTCACACTAAAAGCCATAGAAAAAGTAGCTTCGTGTCTTTGCTTGCAGCACCACCACAACAAATGCTTTAAACTATTTTCATCTACTTTCCCACCCCATTTTCCGAGCAAAGCTTTCCAAGTATCATAGAATCATAGAATCATAGAATCATAGAATCATAGAATAGATTGGGTTGGAAAAGACCTCCAAGATCATCAAGTCCAACCCCTGATCCAACTCCAATTACTATATCATGGCACTAAGGGCCACATCCAATCTCTGCTTAAAAACCTCCAGGGATGGTGAATCCACCACCTCTCTGGGTAGGCCGTTCCAATGCCTGAAAGTAGAAAGTATATGAGATTCCTCTTTAGTTAATGAATGCCCTGTGTTGCAATTAAGTTCTTAGTGGCTCACCTGTATATCACAAGTGTCACAATACTGGTCCGGACCAAGGCAGCTCCTCTGGCTGCTCTCTGCTATGCCGAGCACCGTCACCACTGCACCTCACCCTGCGGTTCTGATTCCTCACTGGGAATCGTGATTCCCTACTGGAAATCACCACTGTCCTGACCTCTCGGAGAGGGTCGCATCCAATCCCTCGGTGGGGATCGCGTGACCCCTGGAGTTTCAACCCCTCCATGGGGATCTCCTTGTCCGTTTTGATCCTTTGCTGGAAATCACGTCATCGCTTTTGATCTCTCATTGGAGATCACGTCAGAGTCACCATATGTCGCCGTTATGTCATGACGGTCCAATAAAAAACACACAAGAAGGCTGATTCAGGGCAACATAAGAAAAGGCCTCCCTCTTTATTAAATCCCAGCTCCTTTTATATCATTTTCAAAAAGCAGCAAGCAAGCAGTGAGCAAGTAGCAAGCAAGTAGCAAGCAAGCAACATCCTAATTGGCCACTCATCATTACCAATACACTTGGCAGCAATCGTGAGACATCTGGAGATGTTCAAGGGGAAGGTTGTGGTTCTCACATCCCAAATTTATGGACTCACAGTTTGCCCTCGCTCCCCAATTAACCTATGTGTAAAACTTACTTATCTTCAAGGCCACACTCGAAAGTTTCCCAAGTCCATCTCCTCCTCCAGAGAGCTAACAGACCCGCTGTTAACCCCTACAGGGGGGTGTTGTTTGGGGTTTCTTTTAAGAAACAGTATATGCAGTTCTGGACTATTATCATGAAGCCTTAATCACCCACAGTTTTAGAATCATAGAATCATAGAATCATAGAACCATAGAACCATATAATCATAGAATGAGTTGGGTTGGAAGGTACCTTAAAGATCATCTTGCTCCAGTCCCTCTGCCATGGTCAGGGACACTTTCCACTTTAGCCTGGTTCACTCTCTACAACTACTGAAAGGGGGTTGTAGACAGGTGGGGGGGTGGTCTCTTCTCCCAGGCAACTAGCGATAGGACAAGAGGGCATAGTCT